GTCTCAGGGGTATGCTCTGGCGCTGCCGACAACGCAAAGCAAAGCATGGCCACGCAAAGCAAAACCATGCAGCGGCAGCGGGGCCGCAACGGTGCGCGGCGCGGTGCCATGACGGGGTGGCCACGGAGCGGCAACGAAGCGAACATCTGGAAACCGCTGCCAGCTAGCTCGAGGCAAGTCAGAAACCCTGACTGCAAGCAACGCGCGTGGAATCATGCACAGATGCGGCAACCTCGTCGTCCACATCTCTCCTGCTCCTCCTTCCTCTCCCTCCAACTCTGTACTTTTCATCATCCCCTTCCTCCACCTCCCTCTGCTACCCCTTCGCCTCCTCCCCATGCTCTCCTCCTCCTCCTCCTCTTCCTTCTCCTCCTCCTCCTCCTCCTCCTCCTCCTCCTCTTCCTTCTCCTCCTCCTCCTCCTCCAACTCCAACTCCATTTACAACTCCCACACCAACTCCAACTACTCCTCCTCATCCTTCTCCTCCTCCTCCTCCTCCTCCTCCTCCTCATCCGCCTCATATTCCTCCCCTGCCTCCTCCTCCTCCTCCTCCTCTCCCTACCTCCTACCTCCCACCTCCTACCTCACCCTCCTCCTACCTCCTATCTCCGACCTCCTGCCTCCTACCTACTACATCCTCCCACCTTCTCCTCGCCACCCCTGTAGCGCGCTCGCGCGGCCGCAGGGGGGTTCCTTATTCCTCTCCTTCACGAGGTCGAGGTGCAGCGTCGCCAGCCTCAGACGCGGGACGAGCTGGCTCTTTTCCTCCTCCTCCTCCTCCTCCTCCTCCTCCGCCTCCTCTTCCTCCTCCTCTCCCTCATCCTCCTCCTCCTCATCCTCCTCCTCCTCCTCCGCCTCCTCCTCCTCGGCCTCCTCCTCCTCATCATCCTCATCATTCTCCGCCTCCTCCGCCTCCTCCTCCTCCTCGTCCTCCTCCTCTTCCTCTTCCTCCTCCTCATCATCAGTATCCTCCGCCTCCTCCTCCTCCTGGTCGTCCTCCTCCTCCTCCTCCACCTTCTCCTCCTCCTCCTCCTCCTATTCCTCCTCCTCCTTGTCCTCCTCCCCGTCGTATTAGTATGATTGCGTAGTAGTAGTATAGTAGTAGTAGTAGTAGTAGTAGTAGTAGTAGTAGTAGTAGTAGTAGTAGTAGTAGTAGTAGTAGTAGTCGTCGTAGTCGTAGTCGTAGCCGTAGTCGTAGTCGTAGTCGCAGTCGTAGTCGTAGTAGTAGTAGTAGTAGTAGTAGTAGTAGTAGTAGTACTACTACTACTACTACTACTACTACTACTACTACTACTACTACTACTACTACTACTACTACTCTACTACTACTACTACTACTACTACTACTACTACTACTACTACTACTACTACTACTACTACTACTACTGCTACTACTACTACTACTACTACTAGTAGTAGTAGCAGCAGTAGCAGTAGCAGTAGCAGTAGCAGTAGTAGCAGCAGCAGCAGCAGCAGGAGTAGTAGTAGTAGTAGTAGTAGAAGTAGTAGTAGTAGTAGTAGTAGTAGTAGTAGTAGTAGTAGTAGTAGTAGTAGTAGTAGTAGTAATAGTGGTAGTGGTAGTGGTAGTGGTAGTAGTGGTAGTAGTGGTGGCAGTAGTAGTAGTAGTAGTAGTAATAGTAGTAGGAGTAGTAGTAGTAGTAGTAGCAGGAGTAGCAGTAGTAGCAGTATCACTTTTAGTATTGCTATAACTGTTGTCAATAGTAGTATGAATAATATTGGTAGCTTCGTCAGCATTATCATTATCAGTAATATGATGGTAGTAGTGTTGGTGCTGCTGTGGCTATTAGTATTGGTGTCGATACTTTGATTGGTATTAATAGTACGAATACTTGTATATTTTGGATAGCAGTATTAGTAGTCGTACGACTCTTCTTATCAATAGTATTATTCTTAGTGGTAACAATATTGGTCGTCTCCGACGTATGCTGGTTCGTCGCATCAGTATTATGATTCGCATGATTATTGTTCGTTTTCCTAGTATGCTCAGTCGGATTCTGATTGTTCGTATTCTCGTTCGTCTTCCTCTTACGCGTCTTAGTACCACATGTCTTCGTACTAGTATCATTATTCTTAGTGTTATGAATAGTGTTCGTAAGAGTGTTCGTCCTGTTAGTATTAGTTGTATCATTCGTATTAGTGGTCGTCTCCTCGTACTTACTAGTATATCGTTATTGGTATTGATCGTATTCTTCTTACTGTGGGTATTATTCGAAGTTATGTTCGCATTCGTCGTATTATTCATCGTTGTTCTGCCTCCTCCTCCCTTTTCCTCCGCATCCTCCGCATCATCCTTCTCCTCCTCCTCCTCCTCGTCTTCCGTGTCTTCCTCCTCCTTGTCCGCCTCCTCCTCATCCTCCTCCTCCTCATCCTCCTCCTCCCTCTCCTCCTCCTCGTTCTCCCCGTCCTCCTCCTCATCCTGCTCGTCCTCCTCCTCCTCCTCCTCCTCCTCCTCCCACCTCCTCCTCCGCCTCCTCCGGTTCCTCATCCTCATCCTCATCCTCCTCCTCCTCCTCCCCCTCCTCCGCCTCATCCTCCTCCTCCTCCTCCTCCTTCTCCATCTCCTCTCTTAGTAGCATCAGTATTCGTCGTATTATTACTATTATTAGTCGTCTAAGTAGTATTATTATCACTACTAGAAGTAGTATTAGTAGTATTAGTATGAGTAGTATTAGTATCACTACTACAAATTTTTATTATTAGTATTACCATTGTTAGTATGATTAGTCTTCTTATTTGTCTGATCGTTATTAATATTCGTCTTCGTGTTAGTATTATTCTTGTTATTATTATTCGGTTTCTGCTTCGTCTTCGTACTATTAGTCTTCTTCGTCGTATGCATCGTGTTATGCTTCTTCTTCTTCTTATATTAAATATGTATATTATTATGCGTCGCCTTCGTGGTCGCATTATTCTTACTAGTGTTCTTAGTAGTATTCCTCGGCGTAGCCATAGGATTCGCCTTATCACTATTAGTAGTAGTAGTAGTAGTAGTAGTAGTAGTAGTAGTAGTAGTAGTAGTAGTAGTAGTAGTAGTAGTAGTAGTAGCATTGGTCGTCTGAATATTCCGAACAACGTTCTCCCTAATGCAAGTAGTATTATCATTATTCGTGCAGTTACTCATACTATGACTACTCGTAGTCTTATTATTCGTCGTATTAATATTAGTACGACTATTACTCTTCTGAGTAGTAGTAGTAGTATCCTCTTCCTCCTCCTCCTCATCCTCCGCCTCTTCCTCATTCTCTTCCTCCGACTCATCCCCCTCCTTCCTCGCCCTCGTCCTCGTCCCCATACTCTTATTAGTCGTCCTTATAATAGTATGATTCGTAATAGTAGCCTCATTATGGTGCTTAGCTTCTGTGTAGTATTCTTGTGAGTGTTCTAAGTATTGTTATGTCTGATCGTCTTCTTATTATTCGTATTATTATCCGTATCCTCTTCTTCCTCGTCCTCGTATTCCTCTTCCTCCTCCTCCTCCTCCTCCTCCTCCTCCTCCTCCTCCTCCTCCTCCTTCCCCCCCCCCTCCTTCTCCTCAAGCTCGAAAAAGGGCGGGGCCCTCGTCCTCGCCCTCCTCGGGAGGGTTGGAGCCCCCGCCGCGCACCTTCCAAAACTCGAGCGGGCCCGAGGAGACTCCGAACCTCCGAAGGACCTCCTCACGGGACCACCGCGCCCCCCAGACGGGCTCCAGGGCCCTGGGCGATGCCCGCACCCCGCCAAGCACGCGAGGGGCCGCCAGGGCCAGGAGGTCGCCCGAAGAGGGCTCCCGCAAGGGCCCGAGCCTCCAGCCCCCGTACCGAGGGGCCCACGCACGGAAAAATCCGCTCCACGCCCTCGCCAGCTGCCGCCCCGCGTGCTCGGTGGGCGGCCTGCCCCCGCACGGGCGCGCCAGCGAGGCGACGCCCCCCCGCGCGCACCACCCGCAGGCGATGCAGACGAGGGCGGTGGGCCCCGAGAGGACTGGCGCCGTCGTCGTCGTCGTCGGCGTCGTCATCGTCGCCGTCGTTGTCATCGTCGTCGTCGTCGTCGGCGTCGGCGTCGGCGTCGTCGTCGTCATCGTCGGTGTTGTCGTCGTCGTTGTCGGCGTCGTCGAAGTCGTTGGAGACGTCGTCGGCGTCGTCGTAGTCGTTGTCGGCGGCGTCGTCGTCGTCGTTGTCGCTGTCGTCGTCGGCGTCGATGCCGTTGCCAAGTGCCATTTGGTACCCACCGTCACGGTCTTAAGAGATGTTGCAAACCAAGTTGCGGGTGGGCGGTTGGGATGTTTACGCGAGCAGTGGAGTGGACAACTCACTGCGAACAGAAACGAATTACAACACATAGATTGGTCCACCTGAACTGCACAACAGATACTGCTAGAGTCACACTGCTGGGGCCCCACGCTGGCTAACAAAAGTACTTGGGTGGGCGTGCCGAGCTTTCGCCACGCTGCCGCCCCTTGCTGGTCGTGGGCGCCTCGTGGGCGCTTCGTGCGATGAACAGGTGTGCCGAGCGTTCGCCACGCTGCCGGCCGTTGTCGCCCGCGGGCGCCTCGAGGGAGCTTCGTGCGCTGGACAGGTGTGCCGAGGTTTCGCCACGCTGCCGCCCGCTGCTGATCGTGGGCGCCTCGTGGGCGCATACCATCCTATACCCAGAGCTTCCACCACGTAGACACCACGTAGTTTGCACTACATAGCTTGCACCACCTAGCTTACAGCATCGACTACACCACGTGACTGACACAACATAGTTTACACCATCTGGCTTACACATCCAAAGCGCAATCACTCAGTCAGCTCCTGTTCCTGATCCTCACCATCCACGCTAACTGTCATTGGGCAGGCATCGCGCTCGAGGTCGCCCCCCGGCACATTTTGCTATTCGCTCTCCGCCGCAGACGCGCCACACAGCTCAACATGCCGCCCTGTGTAGTCGACATGTCGGGCCGCGCACACCTCCCGAATTACCTCGCGCCGCACGCGACGGCTGTGTACACGTCCCTGCTTCCAGCATGCTCCTGCCTGCGAGCCTGGCTTCTGGAAACCGCGTGGACCACTCAACCCTGAGCGAGCCCCCGCCCTGCCCGCGGTCAGACGCCCCCGGCGTGGGCGCTGGCGGAGCTCAGGGGAATCCCCGCGGCCTCCAGCGCCGGCTGCCGCGCCGCTGGCAGCGCCAGGCGCCTGCGCGCCGCGCGGCGCCCGGCACACACGGCCCGCGGGGCGGCGCACGCGCCTGCGCCGCAGCACAGCAGGGGGCCACCGACGTCCGCCAGGGCCGACAGCCACTCTGGTCCTCTGGGGGCAGAGGAAAGCGGCACAGACACAAACTGTCGACGGTCTCCGCGCGGCTGTCTCGGATCTGCGTTGGACCCCCCTGGCGACGCCTCCGGCGACGCCCCTGGCGCGCTCCACGTGCCAGGGAGGAGGATCCAGCGCAGATCCAAACAATCCGCGCGGACCGTCGCCTACGCATGTGTTCCATTCTTTCTTCTTCGAGTCCAGGCAGCCACTCCCACCAGGGCCTGGTAGGCGCCGCAGGGCCTGGCGCTGGCGGCACGGGGGCCGGGCCGGGCGGGGCTGGGGCGGAGCACGTCCCCGACAGGCACGTCTCGCCAGGCTGGCAGCACGCGCCGCCGCAGAGCTTCTGCGCCTGGTCGCAGCAGGAGTACGTGCACTTCTTGATCTCCATGCACTTCGCTGGCGCACGATCCCATATTAAAGGCGCTGGATATGGACAACAGCAGTGCTCTGCATCACCACGATTCCTCAAGCCAGGTGCGGTAGAGTCATTCGCGCACTTGTCTTGACCACAATCGCAACTCGCGGTACATTGGTTGCACTGAACCTGCTCTGGAGCTCCACTCAGTCCAGGCGGCACAGCAACCGCAACGATGGCCACCAACAGTAGCGACATGTCGCCGATTTCCTCCGACAGCCAAAGGAGGAGTAAGTTTGACCCCTGAGCCAAAAATAGCTACAGCGGCCACACGGCTGCGGAGAAGGAAAGGGGGACAGTGCAACTTGAGGCATGCCAGCGCTGAGGGAGGGGGCGAGGAGACCAATTACGCTTCACATTCGTGACCCAGACCCCGACGGCATCCCCGATGGTCTCGACCCCTTCCCCGGGACAGGCTTCTCGTCCGGGACGGATGTTTGGCGGCGCCAGGGCGCGTGGGGCCAAACTTGGAAAAACTCCCGTCCTGATGTCCGCGACGCGAGGAGGGGTGAGGTTGGGGAGGGGACTGCCCCTGGGGGGAACATCGACCTGGAATCGGCGCTGCACCGCCGAAAGATTGGCGTCAGACCCCCGATAGCGAGCCCGCATGCTCCTGGGCGGGGTGGGCTATCGGGCCCCCGTCGGCGATCAGTGGGAGATTGGGGGTGGACGCATTCCCCCCTGCGCCTATCCCTCCCCAACGTCGCCCCCGAGGCGCGAGCGGGTCTCTGGGGCCTCGGGGCAAACCCGCTCAAAATCGCACCCGGACCTCCCCTGGGGTCGAAACTGAGCAGAATGTCGAGCCGCGCGCAGCCGTGGCGACGAGAGGGCTCCTTGCTCGGCCAGCTCAGCCCCCCAGCCGGCTCCAAGTCCCTGGGACCTCGGGGAGGGACTCCCCCCAGCCAGGGCCCCACCAAAGGCCGTGCACGACGACAAGAAAACGTAGAACCGACCGAATCGACTGAACCGAAACCGACCGAAATCGACAAGGCGAAAGCAACCTGGAAGGGCGCAGCGACGCGGTAACGACAAAATCACCGACCGTACCGAAACAACCGAACGCAAAAGACTCCTTAGCATGGGAGAATCGGGTCCCGAGGGAAACGGGTCCTGGACCCTGGGGCCTTCCCCCAGGACGAGATCCTCGTCGTGAGCCGGTTTCGGTGAGTCCCAGGGCCAGTGGAGGGCCCCGAGAACCCGAAAACGGGGAAAAACCTCAGGACCAGTTTACACAATGCCGAACTGCGACGCAACCGAACCGACCGAACCGTGAACACACTCGCCACTGGCACGCCGAGGGGGCGGCCACTTCGCGGGCGGCACGTCCGAGAGCGTCAGCAGCTCGGGCTCCAGCGGCTCCACCGCCCTGGCAGTGGCGCCCTCCGCGGGCTCCTGGGGGCGCGCCGCCGCCTCGGCCGCCTCTGCCGGCAGCGAGTCGGGCCCACGCATAGCCGTCGTGGCGCTCACGGCTGGAGGAGGAGGAGGAGGAGGAGGAGGAGGAGGAGGACCAGTATACACCCAAGCCAGATCAGCGATGTTGCAATTAATCATCCCCCGAGTTCCCTCTTCAAAGGTCCCTACAAGGGATCAGAATCATTGCGGGACTTGCCCAATGGGAAGACAACCGTCTGATCGTGCCACAACATCATACCTGAGATTTCAACGCCACGAATTATCGTGACTGTTGCGTCCTGACGATCCTGAACCGTGCCAGAACACCATTCCTGGGACTTCAACACTGCGAATGAACAGGACGGTTGCGTCCTGGCAATCCAAGAACGTGCCAGAGCACCATCCTTGGGACTTCAACCGTACGAATCCTTGAAACGACTGCGAACTGTTAACACGAATGTGCGCAGCGCTACAGCGAGAGCCACATGTTGAAAAGGAGCCACCCCCCATCTTTGAAATTGCTGCAACATTGTGAACGAATGTGCGCGGCGCCAAAGCGAGAGCCGCATCTTGAAAAGCGGCCCGCCCTCCATCCGTGAAACTCCCGCAAAATTCTCAGCTTCAGGACAACAAATGGTGCGGAAACCTCTGGCGAAACGTCCCCCCCGCCCTGCCGACACGTCTCATGGTGCGACAGAGAGGAGCTATGCATAAGCAAAGAGATGGAGAGAGAAGGAGGAGGAGGAGGAGGAGGAGGAGGAGGAGGAGGGAGGAGGAGGAGGAGGAGGAGGAGAGGAGGAGGAGGAGGAGGGGAGGAGGAGGAGGAGGAGGAGGAGGAGGAGGAGGAGGAGGAGGAGGAGAGGAGGAGGAGGAGGAGGAGGAGGAGGAGGAGGAGGAGGAGGAGGCGAGAGGAGGAGGGAGGAGGAGGAGGAGAAGGAGGAGGAGGAGCTTGAGTTTCGGCCATCTTCTCGCGAGTCGCGAAGGCAGGAGAAGGAGGACGAGGAGGGAGGGAGGGGGAGGAGGGAGAGGGAAGAGAGGACGGGAGGAGGGCGAGGAGGAAGAGGCCGAGGACGAGGACAAGCGCAGAGGCCTGCAAGGGCGAGCAGGGCGAGGGCGCGGGATGCCGACGAGAGGCGGCGGGAGAGGGGGCGGGCGGCCGCCACCGTGCGCGACGGCACCCGCTGGACCAGGCGCGCGGCAGTGCGGACGCGGAAGGGCAGATCGGCCCCCTGAGGAGGAGGAGGAGGAGGAGGAGGAGGAGGAGGAGGAGGAGGAGGAGGAGGAGGAAGAGGAAGAGGAGGAGGAGGAGGAGGAGGAGGAGGAGGAGGAGAGGAAGAGGAGGAGGAGGAGGAGGAGGAGGAGGAGGAGGGCAGTGCCGACACGGGAGGCGCGCGGCAGCGCCGACACGGCCGCCGGAGGCCCTGGCCCCGCGGGAGGGGCGGCGGGGCGCGCGGCTCGCGGGGGCCTCCGCCGCTCCCCTGCCTCGCCGAGCGGGGGGTGCGGCGGAGGCGCCCGGCCCCGGGCGCCCCGCCGAGGGGCGGGGCCTCGGGGCCCCCCCGGGGCGGCCACGGCAGGGTCGTGCCGTGCCGACGTCGGCGCTGGGACCCGACACCGCGGGGATGGATCAACCTTGAACGATGGGCCGCTTCCGAAACGGCCGAGCGTTCAGCATCGGCCGACTCTGGGCCGCCGCCGGCGTTAAAACGTCGAACGCCGGCAGCGGGGTCGCCGTCGGTCGACACGACACGAGCCTGTCGTGAAGCGGCGCCCCGAGAAAGAGAGGCCCAGCGGGCTGCGGGCACACGACCGTCCCGAGGCCTCTGGCGGAGCGGTCTTCACGACGCGGGGCCCAGAGCCAACGAGACCCTGGTCTGGGGGCCTGCTCCTCGTCACGGGTGGTTTCCCGACGGCCCGGGGCCCCTGTGCGAGGCCCCCCCCCCCAGACGCCCTGAACTCGGGAAACAAACCCAGCCGTCGTGATCGTCCGGCATGAGGGAAGGAGGCCGTGGTGGAAACAGGCCCCAGGCCCCGCCAGGGTTATCCCCGCGCTCGTTCCCAACCATCCCAGTTTGAAAAGATAACGCCCCGCGTCTCCTTCCTGACTTCCCTCTCGCTGCCCGCCCCCTCATATCATCCGCGCCTCAACCATCCGCATGACCATGTTAGCACGCCCTTCACACGCTTCGTGGCCCCATGCGGAGCTCCACCGAAGGCCCCAGCGGCGAGGCTCGCATGCGGCTCCCCGCCCAGACCGGCACACCCCTTACACGCTTCGTGGCACCATAGGGAGCTCCGCCGAAGGCCCCAGTTTCCCCACCCGTTTCGGCACACCTCTTACACGCTTCGTAGCCCCAAAAGGGGCTCCACCGACAGCACCAGTGGCACGGCGCGCATGCGGTTCCCCGCCTATTTCGGCACACACTTTACACCCTTCGTGGCACTATAGGGGGCTCCACCGAAGGCCCCAATGGTTGGGTCTTCTTCCCCGCCCGTTTCGGCACACATGTTTCGTAGCCCCATAGGGAGCTCCACCGAAGGCCCCAGTGGCAATGCGCATGTGGTTCCCCGCCGATTTCGGCACAACTCTTGCACGTTTCGTGGCCCAGCTCCACCGAAGGCCCCAGTGGCAGGGTTATCATGCGGTTCCCGCCGATTTCGGCGTTCCCCCTCACATGTGCCGTGGCCCATAGGGAACTCCACCGAAAACGATCCGGAAAAAAAAATCCTACATGCCCTTTAGGGCGTAGGTGGTTTAGGGTGTTTCCTCCTCCACCCCCTCCTTCCCCTTCGGGGAGGGGTTCATCACTGCTCCCTACGAATACACACCCCCTCCCCCAGGCGACTGGGTGCCAACCCGAGCCAATGAGGGCCCCCCCACCATCCCTTGTAAAAAAACATATAAAAAACATGTTGCATCAAAATTCGGTGCATGCGCAGCGAACCCGATGCGGCCTCCCCCTACCATCCCTGTCAAAAAAGAATGCTGAATACAGTTGGCGGCGGCGGCTGCGGCGGGGGCAGCGGTTGCGGCGGCTGCAGCGGTGGCGACGGCGAAGGCGGCGGCGGCGGCGGTGGCGGCGGCGGCGGCAGCGGTGGCGGCAGCGGCTGCGGCGGCAGCGGCTGCGGCGGCGGCGATGCGGCAGCGGGGGCGGCGGCGGCGGCGGCGCGGCGGCGGGACCGCGGCGGCGGCGGCGGCGGACCGCGGCCGGCGGCGGCGGCGGCGGCGCGGCGGCGGCGGCGGCGGGCGGCGGCGGCGGCGGAGGCGGCGGCGGCGGAGGCGGCGGCGGCGGCGGATTCGCCCCCAGTAGCTGCCTGAATATGCTGCGGCTCGGGCCAGGCTCGGATGCTGCGTATGTGTCGGGAGGGCGGGCGGGTGGGAATGAGCGAAACGGCTTGCGGGCGGGGAGGGGGTTTTGATCCCTCCCCATACCCCCTCCAATGGACCTGGACGGGGGGTCCGCGAGCGGTCAGGGCGTCCAAAACGGCCTCGGCGAAGAAGGCAGAATCATTGGTTTTACTATGTTTTTCACCCCATGTTTGCCTCTTGGGGGGGCGGCGCTGATTAGGACCCCCCCTTTCTTTGATCAATCTCCTCCGAGATGGCCCCACGAGCGCTCCCAAGGCTCCGAGAGGCCCCCTAAGAGGGCCCGAAGAGGTGACCAGGAGGCCCCAAGAGGCACCCAGGGCCCCCAGGATGCCCCCAAGAGACCCCCAAGAGGCCCCCCAGAGGCACCTAAGACGCTCCAAGAAACCTCGGCGACAATGCCAAAATCACTGATTCTAATAACGTTATGGACACATGTTGGCCTCCTGGGGGGGGATCTGCTTATGATGACTCCAAGATGGCCCAAGATTACCTCCGAGATGGCTCAAGATATCCCAAGATGCCTCAAGATGGTTCCCACGATGCTCCAAGGAGCCCCAAGACCGCTCCAAGACGGTTCCAAGTGGCCAAAGAGCTCCCCAAGGAGGCCTCGAAGAGGCCAAAATCCTGCCAAAACCCTGGGCGAATCAATGTTTTTGGTTTTCTCGCCTTTCGCTTCCGATGGCCATCCGGAGCCTCAAGATGGCCCAAGAGGGTTCCAAGAGCGCTCCCAAGGCTCCAAAGAGCGGCCCAAGAGGGCCCCAAGAGGCGCCCAGACGGCCCCAAGGGGCCCCAACTGGCGCCCAAGAGGCCTCCAAGAAGCTCCCCAAAGACCCCCAAGAGGCCCCAAGAAACTCTCCGATGCACCCAAGACGCTCTAAGAGGCATCCAAGACCGCCAGGAGGCCCCCAACACGCTCCAAGAGTCTAGAAGCCTCCGCTGGGGGACCCTTCCTCTGTGTGCTGCCCACTTCCCTGATCGAGGCAATTCATGTGGGCATCGTTTCTGGATGGGCTGGTGGGGTTACTTTTCCGTCGCAGCCGCAGGCGAAGGCGCCACAGGCGTCACAAGTCGGCTCGGGCTACGAGCAAGGCTAATTGACCTAGCGCGCGCACAATCGGCTGCAGGACTACCGCCGAGGGACGCTGGGCTGCGCCGAGGGCTGAAGCTGCAGGAGCTGCCGGGAGCTGCCACATGGCCAGGCACGCACGCGGGCATCCCAGGGACGAGACCACCAGGAAGGATTGATGAATTGAATTGTCGCGCCAGGCGCCAGAAAGCTGGTGGCGCTACTTTTTGTCAGCGGCCGCGGGCGAGCGCGCCGGCGGCGTCAAGTCAAAGCGGGCTACGCAAAGACTAATTGGCCAAGGAAACGCGGGAAAAACAAACAGAGCGACGGGCGAGGCGACAACAAAGCGCGGCCGAGGCCTCAGATGGGGGGCTGCTGGAACTGAGACTGAGGGGAACTGCCAGCGTGCACAGCTGCAAGTAAGTCGGAGGCGCCACGCGTCGGAAAGTCAACGACGGCCAGGGACAACTCCGAGAGATCGCTGGTGGCGCTACGCGAAGCGTCTAGAATTTGTTTGTGGCGGGACTGACGAACACCTCCAGGACCCGTTTCCTCGTTTTCCAATCTGGGGGTCAAAATCACCCCCCCGAGTTGTCTGGTGCTGCGTTTTGGCCCGGAACCCAGCAGCTTCCCACATCCTTTCCCTTGGGAAGGGTTTCGTCGCTGCTCCTTGTTCATAAAGACGCCCTGGGCCTCGGCCAGCGGCTGCCGGAGCTCGGCGCGGCCCGCGGGCAGCGCGCCCTTCCGCGCGCCCTGCGCCGCTGCTCTCGGCGCCGGCGAGGACTCGGGCGGCGGCGCCGCTCCCGCCAGCACCGGGCGGAACAGCCGCACTCTGGGGCGCGGCTTGGAGGAGCATGGATTTCGCGTCGCACAGCTGGCCTTCGGGGTGGCAACCCTTTCCAGGGCGCGGCGCGCTGGAAGTCCCGCTGCCGCGAGGCCGCGCAGCCTGTCGGCGGCGCACAGGAGCTCGCAAGGCGCACTCCACCGGCCCCCGTCGGCGGAGGGGGGGCGGAGCGCGCGCCCCAAGGCGCGGGCGCGGGCCTAACGGGCGAGGGGGTGGCTGCAGCGGATCCAGCCCCCGCCTCGCCAGGGCCGGGCGCGTCGCTGCGCCGGGGGAACACTGCGTTCCCGTCCTCCTCCTCCTCCTCCCTCCTCCTCCTCCTCCTCCTCCTCCTCCCTCCTCCTCCCTCCTCTCCTCCTCCTCCTCCTCCTCCTCCTCCTCCTCCTCCTCCTCCTCCTCCTCCTCCTCCTCCTCCTCCTCCTCCTCCTCCTCCTCCTCCTCCTCCTCCTCCTCCCTCCTCCTCCTCCTCCTCCTCCTCCTCCTCCTCCTCCTCCTCCTCCTCCTCCTCCTCCTCCTCCTCGTGTTCCTCCTCCTCCTCCTCCTCGTCCTCCTCCTCCTCCGTTCCCAGGCCCACGCGGGCCTCGCGCCGCGTCGGGCACGCCTGCACCTCGCACGGCGCCGGGGGGCCCAGGCGCGGACCCCCCAGCGCCGCCCCCGCGGCGGGGGGGGGCGGCGGCCCAGCTCTGGCGGAAGAGGCCCGCCAGAGGCCCTGACGTTAAGTCGGGCCTGTCCCTCTACAGGAGGAATATTCAAAAATAGTAAAAAATAGTCTGTGGACGATTGTTTGACAATGTTTTGGTATTTTTTTATTTTTGTTCGAGTGTTTCCGATTTGTCGTCCAAGATCTCCCTGTAGGGGGACATGCCCGACCTAAAGCTAACGCGAGCGCGACGAGACGGCAGGCGGAGGAGGGGGAGCGAAAGTCGGCGCAATTCACACCATCGGATCGGGAGAAGCCCTCAGCTTCGGCGCCGGTGGGCCACGAGGGCGACCTCGAGAGAGGGGCCTGAAGGAGCGATTCCTGGCGGGGTCATCGGCGCGAAAAGCGTCCGCAGGGACGAGCAACACCCTGGGCAGCCCCCCACCCTCTGATGATGCATGGTAGAGTTGCGCATGGGACGTGCGACAAGCCTGGGAGCTGCTTCGGCCGCAGACCGCAGCTCCGAGTACCACTTTGGAATCCAGAAATACCGCTACGCGCGCGTTGGGAAAGAGTACTCAACCATACTTGCACAGGCTTCTACGCACCGTCGTCTCCCGGATGTCGACGTGGCGCGGAACTCTAAACTCCCGCGTGTAAGCGAGACCAATATTAAAGGCTCCTAACAGCTCGGTGATCCAGCGCGGCGCGACAGGAGGTCCAAGGAAGCGGGGCCCCAAGTCGCGGCGCAGCTGGGCCAGCTCAGGCCCCAACGGAGCGCCTCGGCGCAAAACGGCCAGCAAGCTCCTGTTGCGCGGAACAGCACGCCAGCCGACACGTTCCGACCTGCGCCATAACTCGGCAGACAAGCGCGGTCTGATCGGACCTCGGATCACGCGCGCCCAGCCGAGGGCCGCGTCCGCACCGAACACTTCAGGGCTATAGGCAGCCCGAAAGTCGACGATGGCCGCGAAGGCTGGGAAGGTGCATGCGATGAGCTCATCACGCACTGAGGGCGGGAGCTCACACTCAATCCCATCGTCGGTGGCAAGGCGCGACACGGCGACAAGTAAGTGCAGTCGTGGGTTGATGCCGCCAACAGGGGGCGGCGAAACAGGAAAACCTGCACCCAGCAACCCACGAGCTACGCCAAAATGGGGCGCGTCGAGCTGCCGAGGTAGACCTGCATAAGGGCGAGCCTGCAGAGAGCTGCCGCGCGAACAAACGGTGCGCAGAAAATCCCGATCCCATCCTTCACCTCAGAGCCCACCACAGACTTGCGAGATTCGCAACGAACGCGGTTCCCATTGAGCTGCACCGAACCCACCAGGGGAAAGCCGCGATCGCAGGCGGCGAAGACCTCGCGGCCACGACAATGGGGGTCGCCGGGGCGGGAAGCAGAGCCATACCAAGGCAGCTTCTGGAAGCCCGTATGGTCACCGATTTTTTAGCCTCTCGACATAGGGGCCTCGCGGGAACGGCGAGCGGTGCACGGCTTGCTCATGAGAGCGAAGAGCCCCGAAGCTGCGCCGCATGCCCACGCGCGCTGCGCCCGCGATTTCCGCCGCCATGTTTTCGCCCATGGCTCCTGGGTTTTGGCAGAGGGAGATATTCAGACCCTCGAGCTCAGGGCGCCAGGAACTGAAAGGCACTAAAGCGATCCCCTGGAAGGCGCACGCGAAGGGCTGTCGGCGTCGCTCGAGCGGGAGCAACCCGAAACGCGCAATATAACTCCCGCAGACCATCGCACGAGACAGGCAGCCATTTCCTAGGCGCGAGGCTCATACGACACAGCGAGAAACCCTGTCCGAGGCGCCGCGCACTGGAACAAATGGACGCAAAGCTGCTTTTTACGACAGCTGGGTTAAGGATCAAGCGATCGTGGTCGCTGTCCTTTCGAGCCCTGAAGGCACCACAGGTTTCGTCCCAGGCAAGGTCGGAAGTCGGGCGCAGAAATAGAGCGCCACGGGCATCCCAATTCTGGAACAGGGCCCACAGCTCAGCGTTGTTCAAGTGGACACGCACCCCCTTCGTGTCAAATGGCCACTCGGACGACGGGAGTCGCATCACCTCAGGATTGAGGAACCCCTCGCGAACACAGTCGTCGGCGAGACAAGGGGTGGGATCAAACACAAGCGAGTAATCCATTTTGATGCGGGGCGCCCTGATCGTAAGATCGAAAGGCTCGACTTGGGTAGAGACCCAACCGCCGCTGAGGGACACTGCCGCATGGGGGGCGGGCACAAGAAGGAGGTGAAAGAAGCCTCCACAGCTGCAACATTGGCAGCCAGGCCATGGGTGAAACGCGAGACTTCGGTAGCATCAAGCTCGGCGAACGTTCGACCCAAGTCCCTCTTGCTACCGCGGGCATGGAAAACTGCAATCCGGCACAAGCGCTCGATACGAATGCGGATGTCCTCCTGGAAGGGCGAGACCGCGGCGCGAATCCGAGCTTCGTTGGGGGCGGAAAACGGCTGGCCAACAGTGAGCCAGTCCAACGCAACAACAACATGCTGCGCTAAAAAACGCGACGAGCGACTCAGCCGCCAGCGCTCGCAACCACGACCCGTCAAAGCAGCGGGAGGAACGGATATGGCTGGTGCAAGGGGGCGCGGCAAGGGATCGCGTGGAAACGGCTTCGAAAGGCACAGGTCGCCCCGAACCGACGCATGCAGTGAAGAGCTGGATAAAGACGCAAGGGAACACGCAACATCCATTCAAACCTGAGCTAAAGCAGCAGCCAAATGGCGAGACCGACGTTTACGCAAGGGAAGAGGCGTACCAAGGCAGACAGGTCGGCAACAAACGGTGGGACCTTGGGGGCAGCACTGGTGGTCTCAGAAGCTCGCGGCACCAGAAGCCCCTGAAGCAGGAGCCTCGGCGCGAGCTGGGGCGCCGGTGGAAGCGACGGGCGACGCGCCTAAAGGCCCAGGAAGGCGGGCCCCGGTAGCACGGTGAGACGGGCCAGAATGGCCAGAAAGGCCAAGGGGAAGAAGCCAAGGGACGAGCGAGAGTCACGACGGCGCAACGAATTCCCCCCTGCGGTGCCGCAATAGCATGGCTTGCAGATCGCATTCAATTCGTACCCTTGCGGCCTCGCTGAGCCCAAGCACGCCGAGCAGCGGCAGCGTCTTCGCGCAGCGCGGCTCGCCGTGGCTGCACCCTGGCCGCCAAAGGCTTACCGCCTTGAGCGCCTGTTGTGCCCTCCGTGGTGGCTGCGGCCGGAGTTGTCGGAGGCGGCGCGGCAGCCGCGCGGACCGCGCCCAGACGCGCAGCCCCGGCGACCTCCACGACGAGGGCGTTGCTTGCGCAATCGCTTCGTGCGGGAACCAGCTGCGCGGGGCGAGGCTGGCCGCGCGCTCAGCCTGGCGGCCAGCCAGGCTGGCAGGCAGCCCCCGCGCCTGCAGCGGCCAGACCCCCAGTCGCCGCCTCGCGGGGGGGCGGCGCAGGCCAAGCCGAGGGCCGCTCTCCCGCGAGTTGTCGCGAGCCGGCGCCATTGCGACGCCAGGATTTCAGGGTGCAACGCCTCTCCCACCCCGCCCCCCAGTCCCACCCCGGCCGACGCACCGCTCCTCGCCGTCGTTGGGCGCGCCAGGCGCCGCCGCGCCGCCGTCCTGGCAGGGTCGGGCGGCTGCGGCGACGACGACGACGACGACGACGACGACGACGACGACGACGACGTTGACGACGACGACGACGACGACGACAACGACGACCACGAAGAAAACGTTGACGACGAAGACGACGACGAAGACGACGACGAAGACGACGACGACGACGACAACGGCGGCTGCTGCGGAGACCACGAAGAGGAGGAGAGGGAAGGACGAAGGAGTCGAAGAGAAGAAGCCTTTCAAGACAAATGTGCGCGGCGCTGGGCGTTAGTCCCGCTTTTCGGGAGGAGCCGCTCTTCATCTCTGGAAACGCTGGAACATTTGCCAGCGCGGCGCTGGGACGATAGCCACATTTTGAAAACGGCCCGCCCTCCATCCGCAACCGTTGCAAATGTCAAGTTTCATGGCCATGAGCTGCGAAGGCGACTCAAGCGAAACGCCTGGTCCGCGCAGTGCGACGAGGAGTGACATGATGCGTATCAGCCAGACGCCGGTCAGCAGGCGGCGAGGTGCACCGGGAGCGAATGGAGGCACAAGCGAAAGGGACAGGGCGCGAGGGAGGGACAGGAAGGAGCCCGCCCGCTCAGACCGTGAAGGCCGGCGCGAGGGTGCCGTGGAAGAACTTACCAGCGGGCTGCGTAGCAGCGGAGGCCAGGGCCGTCTTGGCGGGGTAGACATGGAAGAGGTACAGGAAGACAAAACTGCGACTCGGAAAGGAGCCGGCCCATGTACTCTGGATGGCGCAATAATCGCCCCCCCCCTTGGATCCGCTGGGGGGGTTGGGCACGTACGGGTGGAAGGGGGTTGGAGGAGGAGGAGGAGGAGGAGGAGGAGGAGGAGGAGGAGAAGGAGGAGGAGGAGGAGGAGGGGG